AAAAATAAAAAACGTAATTTTAGTTTAAAAAGTTTAGATTTCCCTAACGATTTTACATAAGATATCTTAGAAATACTCAAAATAGCTCTAAAATCAATCGTTGTAGAGCATTTTAATCGATTTTACAACCCGAAATTCAAAAAAAAAATTTTTTCACAGAAAAAAAAGCGTGATTCTACATAAATTAAGCTTATAAGCTTAGAAATACTCAAAATAACCTTAAAACTACTCGTCGCAAAGCATTTTAACCGATTTTACAACCCAAAACTCACAAAATTCGGTTCTTTCCTTTTCCCGGAAATCAGACTGTAATTTTAGCTTAAAAATTTTAGATTTTTGAGACAATTTTATATAGGAAATCTTAGACACACTCAAAATAACTCTAAAACTTTAATTGAATTAACTAAAGTCTCGTAAATCGGGAAGCGAGCGAGCAAATAATAGCCAATAAGCGAATCGACAATGCGACAACCGTAACCTTAATTATGTCGCAAAGCATTTTAACAGATTTTTAAAAAAATAGAAATTCAAAATTCAAAAAATTGTATTCTTTCTTTTTCACAAAAAACAAAGAACGGTATTTTAGTTTAAAAAGTTTGGATTTCCCGGACGATTTTACATAAATAATCTTAGAAATACTCAAAATAACTCCAAAATCACTCGTAGAACATTTTAATCGATTTTACAATCCAAAATTCAAACTTTTTAGTTCTTTCTTTTCACAGAAAACAAAGCGTGATTTTACATAAAAAAGATTAGAAATACCCAAAATAACCTTAAAACTACTCGTCGCAAAGCATTTTAACCAATTTTTCAACCCAAAACTCACAAAATTCGGTTCTTTCCTTTTCCCGGAAGTGATTTTAGTTTAAAGATTTTAGATTTCTGAGACAATTTTATATAAGATATCTTAGAAACACTCAAAATAACGAGCAAATACGAGCCAATAAGCAAATCAACAATGCGACAACCGTAACCTTAATTAGGTCGCAAAGCATTTTAACATACTTTCAAAAAAATAAGATTTCAAAATTCAAATAATCGTTTTTTTCTTAAAAAAAAGCATAAAACGTAATTTTAGTTTAACAAGTAAAAATTTCTCACACAATTTTACATAAGAAATCTTAGAAATACTCAAAATATCCCTAAAACCACTCGTCGTAGAGTAT